CATGTAAACTGTCCATCCTGCAGGGAAGCCAAAGAAAGACAGTCAAGCTGAAAATCAGGTAAGATATAAAATATTTCAAGCTTATCACATTTTTTTCATCAATAGTTTTCCCCACAAACATTTTTGGATGTTTACAGCAGGTGGAGATCCCCATGGTGGATCAATTCTTTTCAAAATTCTTTTCTTTGAGCACTTCGAAAGAGGAGGCCCCTCTGCTCTGCGATCTCAGAGATGTAACAAGGGAAGAACACCATCAATGCAACACATTGAGATGACATTATCAAGATATAATGAGCAGGGATATTGACCAATCCGTGTGGGCAGAGAGAGACAGAGGAACAGATCTGTCATGTTTGCTGCTCTCAACCACGAGCTGTACAATTAGCAGGTGATGCAAAGATTCTCTTGAAGTGCAAAATACAACCTGTAAACCATAAGCAGTCATCTCCAGGGCTGAAAAATGATGTCCAAGTGCCAAAGCCTGCAGATCCTTAAATGTCCACTTGAGGCTGTGTCCAAAAGCCAGTCCTTATAGATAAAATGATGATACAAGAGAATGCTTCTGTTTTTTTTGGCTAATTTCCCAGTTTATTTCATTAGCTTGTCATGATCCTGGAGTTTTCGATCCAGCCTTTTCAGTTTTTCTATTTTCATTTTCTGTTATTTTTAATTTTTCTGTCTGACTCTTATTGTAGTCGTATAATTTTGGTTTTGTATCTGTATTAGTTATTCTTTGTTGTTGTTTTTTTTTAATCAATAGCCTCAGGTCTTTTTACTTGTCGTTTCTGTCTTCTGTCCATGGTTTTAGCTTGTTTGTATTCTCTTGCATATTTCAGGTTTTGTTCGTCCCCATGTTTGCCCGTATCTTGTTTATTCTCCTTTACAGTGTTAGATGTTCCTTTAATTTGCTGGTCTTGCATGTGTTGTGTTCAGTTTTGCTTTGGACTCTGTTCAACTGTCTCCACTTCCCCTAATTGCCTTTCTTTGTATATAAAGCTGCTGTCTTCTCTTGTCCTTTGTCAGTGTCTGTTCTATCCTGGTATTGCTAGCCTTAGTATGTTTTCTAGGTTCTGGTTTCATTAAGTTTATTGTTTTCATTTTTATTATTTTGTACTTGTTTCAAATTTTGTACAGCTCACAATAAATGACTTGCTTTCAGTTCCATTCAGTCTGCTTCTATGATTCACTCCTAACATTAAACTCTTTGAAACAGCTTTTGGATAAGTTTCTTTTAAATCTTATTAAGGGTTAACATGTGTGCTGTTTTTTAATGTTTAGCTTTCAGCTTCAGCAGCAGACACTCTAAGGTAGGGGTCTCCAATATTTTTTCCCCTCTGAGAGCTACTCATCCTTTCAAATGTTTCATTTCAACACAAACCAACCGAATAAGCTTGTTTTTCCTGAACATTTACAAAAATGTTGGTATCCACAACCTAAAAGTTGCATTAACATCACAAAAATATTTAGTTCACTTGCAAGTGCATGTTTTATGTCTGTATACACTACAGAGAAATGTATCTCGCACTACTAAATTAAAACAATGCTGTCAAAACAAAACAATGCAATTACAAATACACAGATATTATTTATTCAATTATGATTTCGTTACATGTGCTTGTTTCATTTCTCAAAAGCATTCACACTAAATATGTTTTTATCTTTGCCTTGTATCTGTAGGTTCAGGCGGTTAATTTTCTCTCTCAGTCACATCTGTCAGGAAACCAAGATCAAGCAGCAACTCAGGTAATATCAGATAATAGTGTGGTATCCTCCTTCCTCACTTCCATAAAAGCCTCGGTTTCACCGATCAATGAAAGAAAGCATTTCAGTATCCAACCCGACTTAACCGTCTTATTCTGTGTGGAGGAGGAGATCCCTATACTTGGCAGAGTGTTCCTCCAAGAACAACTTGAAGCTTCGGTGTTGCTTTGCCTTTGCTCGAATGGAGCTGATGACATTAACATTATTAACAACAGGCAGCATGACATGGTCAAATTCCATCATTTATGGGCATAGAGCCTGTTGGTAAGTGATGTAATGATAGTTTAAAAACTTAAGAAAGTCCGCGTCCGATTAAATCCTGAGTCACAGCAGGTGCTCCATCAGTTTTCACAGACACCAGGTTTTCAACAGGGATCTTTTTTTTCTACAAAGTAGTCCTTCAGTGATTGTAAATATCCGCTCCTCTGCTTGTAGTTTTAAGCGGAAGTAAAAAAGTCACCAAACACCATCTGAATGAAAACAGCCAGCTGGGCTGTATCACTGGAGTCGACAGACTCAGCACACTGAATTTAAAATGATTTGCACCTCTGCACGTCCAATTCCGGCAGTTTTAATGCATCTGCAGACAGTGCAGACATACTCCTTGCCAGTCACCTAATAATGTTTCAGCCATGCAGTCATAGTTTCCTTTACAATCCTGCCATCAGTGAAGGGCTTTTAGTGCTTCATTGAGTGATTTGCCACTTTCAACAAGGCCTCTGTCGCGGCATTGACCTTCTTCGTACTGCCCATCAAAACTGACTCATCAAGTTTGACAGCATTGCAACTGTTTGACACCTAATTGTCAAATAATCATCTGATAGAAAAACTATGAATTTGATTCTTCGTACATATAAGTTGGTTTGATGATTGACCAATCAAATTTGACTACACAAGTTTTGAAATGTATTTGAAAAGGAACAACATGTTGGAGGCTCCTGCTCTAAGAAGTATGCTGTCCAGATTTTCCAGAAAGTTCCTTTTATTTTAAGAATGTTTTTTTAAGTTAGCTAAAGGTATCATGCTATTTAATGTCACAGGTATAAACATTTTACTAATCAAGCTAGCCTAACTAAACGAGCTAGTCTGCCTAATTCTGTGAACTGAATATGGTCACACTCTGTTAAAAATACATAAATAAACAAACAAACAACAAAACGGCACCTTTCAAAAAGTCAAGAATTCAAAACAACAGACCTCAAACCTGTGGGTGAGATCACAATGGCCAGTGTAGCTAGAGATGAAGATGTAAGGTGATTGTTGCCAACAAATGCAAAAGACTGAGACGTGAAAGAAGTATTTATATAGATGCACCACCTGCATGAAGGACTTTTAAAATGCATAAGTATAGAGTTAGCCAGAAATTACCAAAAAAAACCCCACTCTGACAGAAAAAGACAGTCTCTTGATTTGTGTTTTTCTCTTGCAAATGGACTTTCTTACTAAAGGTTTTATCTCAGTGTGTTTTTCCTGTGTGCTGCTCCAGTGTTGCCAGTGTTAGGTATATACTGGGTGCACCAGCCTCAAAAGCACAAACTTTAACACCAGTATGCATCTAAAGACCCCTGTAATCAGAAGCAGGAAGTGAAGTCAACCACAAACAATGTACTGTCACATACAGAGTACAAACAGGTTTTAACCACGTAGACAGCTGGTTACTTAAATGTCTGCCATGAAACATTACTTGTGCAGGACCATCCTTTATTTGCTGATCTTCACAGTCCTCATCCTCACTCCGGATGCTCAGAGTAAGTGATTCTTATTAATTTTAAATAGCTCCATTTCAGTCTGAACACGTCTGCTTCTCTGTTCACGGCTGAGTTTAAAAATTTTACTGTTACAGATCGAAAATTGTGGAAAACAACTGTAAAAGGTTTAAAATATCCTTTATCTTTTGCTATACACAAAAACCCAAAGCAGGCATCTAGTAGTTTTTATAGTAATTGAAAAGGACACGTTGAAAGGCTTGACCGCGCAGCCTTCAAACCTTCCGCCTTCAAAGAAAGCCTCAACATGAAGGACAAAACAAGACACTGTAAAATGGTCTTTGATGCTATGCTGGAGATTTTAGTTGAGTTCACGCATGTGGACGATCTTTAGAGTTTTTCTGGATGTTTTAATATTCATCCATCCATTCGCTTCTGCTTATCCCTTTTCAGGGTTGCGGGGGGCTGGAACCCTGCCGACCTGGGGTGAGAGGCAGGGTGCACCCTGGACAGGTTGCCAGACTGCCGCAGGGCTAACACAGACAGAGGCAACAATTTGCATTCACATTCACACCCGCTTTTAATAAAATACATTTTTAATATTACTAAAACAATACCATCCACTTACTGTACCAATCTTGAATCAATATAAAATTTGAATATTTTTTCCTCAACTTTTCTGACATAACAGAAACTCATTAAACGTCACAATGCAGCTGTTTCACCTCATATTTTGTCTCTTTTTGTACATTTTGAGCCAATCATAAAAATACCCAGCCTTTAACGTTCAGAAATTTGAACATGAAACTTGTTTTAAAAGAAAGAATTGGTTTCAACTCAGCAAAGTGCTCAAACCACAGATGCGCCACAGATGACTTGCTTCCCTGAATTTACTGTGTGATGGACACAAACCTGTGAAACATTTTCTGTGCACTAGTTAAGATTGGAGTGCATAGTCATTTCTAAACTATACAGCTAAAAACAAATTAAAGGAAAACTTTGAAAATGCAACAAATCTCAATGGGGAAAACTATGGACTGGGTAGTGTGTTAGGAATAACAAGGATGCCACATTTTGTACTGGAGATGAAAATTATCGACCTACAAACGCTGAATTCTTTTTTCTTTCTTTTTTTGAACAAGGACCTGTATTTTTGAAAATACTACACAGTTGTAACAATGGACTTTCAATTCAGGCTTCCAAAATATACATGAGTCATATTTGTACAATGTATCTCTTGAAAAACATTCTACAACATTCCTCAAAGTTATCTGCTGTAACCTGAATTCAACATTGTGGGGCCTTATGACATCGCGCTTATGTAAAAAATAGTTTTTTAAATGTAAGAGCCATAAGGTAATATAGCAACAGGGGTGTAATTATTAAAATGACACAAAGAAGAGACTTAAAATAACATTATAACCCACAAGCACAAAACCAAGAGACCTAAACTGATTAGTATTGGCTTGCTTCTATCACTAAACATCACAATCACTAATACTAGACGATGCAATCTGTTTGTAGTGGTGCACCTTGGGGAAAAAATTGCAAACTGATGAAATTGGTGCAAGGCACCATTTCCATTGAGAAAAATGGACATCCAAAGTTTGAATTTTTTTTAAAAAAGAGCCATGCCTTGAAAAGTGAAAACTGCAGTAATAAAGGCCCCAAGTTGAAAAATGCCAGAAAAATAAGTTTCACTATGTCCTGCAACTTTACCAGTGCTAACTTAAAAGAAAGGATGGTACATATTCGAAGAGGTAAACATGTTGTTCCCACATCATAACTGGAAAACTGTTCAATCGTACAGTCTGGTCCTGAAAACCTGGGCCTTCTTTGAAAGGCTGTTTCTTTTGAGCTCCATAACCAGTTTCTATAATACCTCGAAGGTATACTTTTCCAGTGGGTAGGTGAGGTTCAAAGTGTACATTAGTCCAAACAGCATTGCAGCTGCTAGGGTATAGTTATCCAAATCCTGCCAGACTCTCTGGCCTTCAAGGACTATCCCGATGTCCTCAGGGCTGCCATTGCCATCTCTTGACTTTATGATGTAAATTCCCATGGTTGTTTCCTTATTAGATCGTTGGATAATGGCTTCATCTGTGGCCTGGGCCGTGGGCTCCAGAATGTTCTGAAGTCTTCTTCCTATTTGTCCTCCTCGCCTTTTGAAGACCTTTATTAGTTTGTCAGATAGCACATCTATCTGCGAGAGTAATCTGGACTGCAGTGGCATGGTGGTAATGCGCTTAAACTCTGCATTTATCTTCAAGTGTAAAACTCCAGTTGGTAGTAGATTTTCCTTTTTTTTTTTCTTTTTTTTTGCCTGTCCCATTTGGTTCTTTAGCCATCAGAATTGTTGTCTGAAGAACAACAAGGATACCCAATGGATTTACTTTGCCAAATGGATCATCGTGGCATTGCCGTATTGGTCCATTTGATCGACCTTTGTTTTTATTATTTATTATATTTTATT